ACATTATAGGATGATAAAACAATTCTTTAATGAGTTTATGACATGGAAGAAATGGTAATAGTCCTGAACAACAGAGACCACCCAAATTTTATTATGGTAAACAGTGAATTTTACTATGACATTTCCATATCTATAGGTATTCTATGAATTCTCACCTTCTTCTTATCCTCCCTCTTCCATCCCTTGCCCTTTCTTTCTTTCTTTTTTCTTTCTTTCTTTCTCTCTCTCTCTCTCTTGCTTGCCCTTCCCAAATAGTGTTCTTTCTACTTTCTTATCTCTTTTAAATATAGACTCTACATATGATAGAAAACGTGTCACAACTGTCTCTGAGTCTGACTCATTTCACTTAACATAATAACCTGTAGTTCCATCAGTTTTCCTGCTACTCACATAATTTTCTTCTTTATGGACAAGGAAAACTTCAGTGTGTGTGTGTGTGTGCCTGTGTGGCTGTGATGGTAAACATAGCTGTGCATGTATCCTGTTGTGTATAGCTAGATCCTTTGTTTAATTATGCCTTGCAAACTCTGCTGAGTAGGATCAAGCAATCAACTGGTAACATGATGCTTTTGATTATTCTATCTTTTGTACACCTGAGGGCTGGCATATCTTTCTGGCTGCTGGTTGGAGCCACTCTGTGACTGTGTCCTTTGTTAGAGAAGTTTTGAATGGGCATGAATAATAAAAGCAGCAAGGGAGAAGGTATGCCAGCAAGAAAGACTACACCTACACCATTATGTAAAGTAACCGTAGAATGAGCCATCATTGCCTGATTCTACCATTGAGAAGCAAATTATAGGTTACAATCAAAATCCAAAGGTAAGATTAAAGAAGCGTGTGGATTTAGCTTTGAGATTTAGGAGTCAGCCTTACACTTGTCCTTCCAGAGTTGGCAAGGATTGCCTTTCTGTCATGATTCATCACATGGGCTGTGGAAGAGTATGACATTCCTAGAGAAATGAGCCCTCCAGAACCTATTTAAATCTTTGCGATTTCCCAGACATACTCGCTTTCTTTAGTTTTTGGATATTACTTATATTAGTTTGGTTTCTATATTGCTGTGATAAACACCATGACCAGAAGCAATCTGGGGAGGAAGGGATTTATTGCATGTTACATGTCCAGGTGACAGCTCATCATTGATGGAAGTCAGGGCAGGAGAAGAAGCAGGAACTGAAGAAGAGGCTATGGAGGAAGGCTGTTTCCTGGCTTGCTCCCCCTGGCTTTCTCAGCAGTGTTCTTACACAGGTTCAGGCCTCCTTGCCTAAGGATGCCTAAGGAGGGCATCAATAAACAAATACCTCACAGACATGCCCACAGCCCGTCTAATCAAGGAAATTTCTTTAGTTGAGATTCCTTTTTCCCAGGTTACTCCAGTTTGTATCAAGTTAACAAAAACTATCTGTCACATTACTCTATTGTAGTTGTTTCCCTAAACTCCAAGGATTCTATTTGGCTATGTAAACAATCTGCTTTTATGTGTCTTATACTTAGACTTGAGTGAGATCTTGCCTTTTCCTTAGTGATTTATACCAAATCTCTGAAGAGTCTTATTGTCTGAGAGTTATCCTTTAACTCCTGAAGAGGAGTACTGAGTGTCAGCTACACTTCCTTGGTATAGTTTCAAGTGAAACAGCTGTGTATTCCTCCAGGCTCTGAGACGCATGTCCACGCATGTCACAGCACCTTCTAAGTCTTTTTTTTTTTTTTTTAAATATTTTAGACTAACAACGGTCCGTAACTCAAGTTCTAGGGATCCAACACCTTTTTCTGACCTCCATGGGCATTGCACGACATGGGTGCACTTACATACATGCAGGCAATACACTCATACACAAAAAATAAAAATAATATGGGGCTGGAGAGATTGCTCAGCGGTTAAGAACACTCAGTGTTCTTGCAAATGACCTGGGTTCGAATCCCAGCACCCACATGGCAGCTAACAACAGTCTGTGACTCCAGTTCCAGGGGATCCGACAGGCTCTTCTGTCCTCCGTGGGCACTGCATGACATGGGTGCACTTACCTACATGCAAGCAATACATGCAGGTAATATATGTGTACGCATAAAAAAATAATAATAATTTAAATTATCTATTATTTTTATTTTATGTGTATGAGTGTATTGCTTGCATGTGTGTAAGAGCACTCGTGTTGTACAATGCATGCAGAGGTCAGAAGAAGGTGTCAGATCTCCTGGAACTTGAGTTATGGGTGGTTGTTAGCCACCACATGGGTGCTGGGAATTGAATCCGGGTCCTCTGCAAGAGTAGTCAGTGCTCTTAACTGCTGAGCCATTTCTCCAGTCCCTCTCTTGGTTTTTCTATCTAAATGTCACTCCATTTTCTTGCATAACATCTAAATTCCTCCTTCACATTGTTGAGAATCTATGTGTTCAAAATCAACTCCTACTGTTGAAACTCCCCCACTGTTGAAACTTTCCCTCTGTTTCATCAGTACGCTATGTTCTCTATGCCTTAATAACATGAAGAATCACTCTTTATTTTACTGTCTAACATGGAGACTATTAATCAGAATAATATGAAAGAATACAGAAACAATATAGGTAAATTTGGATAACAATAATGATCTGAGTATGTATGTAACTGTTACTTAGATTAGAAAGTAAGATTTCATTTCCACCACAAGCACCACTGACTGATTCCCAGTTGTATCTTACCCCACTTTCCCTGGAGCTAGTTTTGGCATTTGTTACACTATTCCCTTTCCTTTGTAAATACGATTTTATCATCTAGGCATGAATATTTAAATAGGAAGTTTGATTTTGCCTCCTTTTGAAATTCATATGAATAGAATCCTACTACAAGAAATCCTCCGTGGCTCGCTTATTTTGCTCAAAATTATACATCTATGATTGATCTGTGTTGATCCCCATGGCTGTACTACCAATACTTTTTGCTTTGCAACATTCCATCCTACAGTTGTTGAAATCTATCTATTCTGTTGCTGATGGAAATTTATGTTGTTTCTAGTTTTTGGCTGCTAAGAAACTGCTGTTTTGTACATTTGGGAGAGAGTCATCTTACTTCACAAAGGTTTCTTTAGCATATACAGTTAGAGTGAAATTTCATGAATTAAGGATATATAAATGCTAGGGCTCTTCTTTCAAAAATGGGTTTGCTGCTGTAGTTTGAACATTGTTCCCTCTCAAAGTCATGTTGGGACTTGTCCTTGTAGCAGTCTTAAACAGCAGTGATTAGGCCCCAGGTGCTGCTGCCATGAATGGATCACTGCCACTTTGCGGGGGGGGGGTAGGTTCCCTAGTAAAGGTGTGGGTTCCTCATGGAAGGATGAGGCTGAGATTGACCCCCTTTTGACTCTGTCTCTCTCACCCTGCTTCTTTTGCCCTTCTGCCTTGGAATGATGCAGCAATAAAGCCTCTGCCAGGTACATTCCTTGATTTTGGGCTTCACAGGCTCCAGAGCTATAAACCAATCATGATTCATTATAAATTGCACAGGGTCAGGTGTTATGTTATAGCACCACAACATACACTAAGACAACTATTATGAGCACTTCATTGGTCCATATTCTAATGTTTGATTTCTCTTTTAATGTAAGGTGTCTGTACCATTAACTGTAGGTTTCAACTGGACTGGATTAGGAATACTGAGGCAGCTGATAGATCCTTACTTCTGGGTACATCTGTAAGAGTGTTTCCTAGGAGACAGGCGTGTGAGACTGAACAGACTAGGTTGGCACCATTCAACTGATGGGAGCCTGGAATAGCACAGTTAAGGGGTGAAACAGACTGTCTCTCTCTTTCATGGCACTGGGACACCTTTGTTTTGCCTTTGGCTATTGGCAGGTCTCTGGACATTGGACTGCATAATTGTATTGGTGCCCCCCAAGTACACAAGCTTTCAGCCTTATGCTCAGTTATGTCATTATAGTCCCTGGTTCTGAGACTTCCAAACATGCACTAAGCTGCACTACAATACCCCAGGGCCTTGTGTTTAAAGATAGCCTTTGTGGATCTCCTAATCCTATGAAGTAAAAGTAATTCCTCTTATGTGTTCTCTATCTATCTATCTATCTATCTATCTATCTATCTATCTATCATCTATCATCAATCATCTGCCTATCTATCTATCCATCTATCATCTGCCTATCTATCTATCTATCTTTTATCTATGTATGTATGTATCTATCTATCTATCATCTATCATCTATCTATCTATCATCTGTCTATTGATCATCTATCTTCTATCTTCTATCATCTATGTATATCTATCTATCTATCTTCTATCATCTATCTATCTCTATCTGTCTATCTATCCTCTATCTTCTATCTATCATCTACTACTATGTTATCTATCATCTATTTATTTTAACATCATCGAGTGTATCACAAACAGAGTTCCCATTAGCTGATAAAATTTAATGGGTCCACTATGAGGTAGGTATCACATCATTAAATAAAAATCAAACATCTGTTATGCAGAATTTTCTCTTAACTGAAACATTCCCTCCTGCAGGGAGGAGGAAGCTAGTAAGACTCAGGATGTAAACAAAATTTACAAGGTTTTACAAATTAATGCAGTTACAAAATTCATAAGGCCTCTCCCCAAGGTTATAAAAGCAGTAGGCAAGTGATATAAAACTGCTTGGAACTCTCCTGTGGAACTTCCTGGAAGGTCAACAGAGATATTCAGGGACACATCTTTCATGTGCAGTTTTATTTGGTCTTTCCTTGGTTCTTTTTCAGGGATAAACAGATGTTGGTTCTCCTACCCTAAAGAAAAGTCAGAGACATGTGGTAGATGACTCCCAGTTCTGAACAAGAAGCCAGTTTGCACATGAAGACTCACACAGGTTGAGATATAATGATAGATGTGTTCATACCTTTTAACATAAATCAAAGTTGCAGTTAGCTGTATTAATTTCTGGGAAAGCAGACTTTAATAGACTACATGTCCAACCTGTGGCCTGCTGGTCACATCTTGCCACATGTGGTTCAATACAAAATTGTAAATTTATATACTTACCTGGTGGGGGAGAGAACATGATCATCAAGGTAGTTTTCCCAGGGTGAGGCTTATCCATTGCACTCTGAATGTGCTGACCCCTGTAATTTCCCCAAATGTGGGAAACTCAACTGCATGATTTGTGGTATTGGGGAACTGTGTTTTCATACTCCTCTGAAAAAGAATTGTAAATCTATTGAAAATATGTAGGGGTTTTAAGGTGGTTTTTGTTTGTTTTTGGTAACCCAGTTGTACAGTTCTTGAGTGTAAATTTTGTACATGATAATGCCATTTTGCATTGTCAAAAGGTTGAACATGTACTGGGTAGGACATAAGAACTAAATATGTGTACACCTGGCAATAGAGCACAGGGGCATGACCAACAAAACTGTGATTGAGAAGAGACATCAATATAAGCAGAGACAAAATCAACAAGGACAGAGTTGACCCAACCAACATATGAATTATATCAATCTACTTGGTATTTATAGACTACTCAGTCAACCATAACAAAATATATATTTATTCAACTTTTCAGGGATTACTCACCAAAATAGATCAAACTGTGAGCCATAATAGCTTTAAATTCTAAAAACATGAAAATCATAGAAAGTCTGTTTTTAAATTTTGACTTAAATGAAACTAGAAATCAATAATATGGTAATAACTATAATAATAATAGCTATAAAATAACTATAATAAC